CTTGAGAAGTTTTGGTGTTTTGTTTTCTTCAAATGAAAATGACAGAACAAAATAACAATCTGACCTTCAAAAGATCCAAAACTCTTTAAACATTTCAGTTTGGTCCCTTATAGTTTAAAAAGTTAATCATATTAGGTTGTCTTCCAAGTCTACTTTGAGGATGAATACATCAAAATTATGTAAAAATATGGAACATTCTGAAAGATTCATGAACTTTCAAACTGTTTTCTTCTGGGGGACAGCTTAGGCTGAGTCGGAATAAGTTGCTTTGTATTTTGGGCTTCTGAAAGGACCGATAGAATAAAAGAGGACTGGGGCAGGGCTCAGTGCTGCCCCACTCTATCACTTTCAACAGCTGAAGCAATGCATATAACCTGCTGGTGCTGAATTTGTTGCAGCCAAGTGCTGAGTGTGTGTTCATGGCCAACGGGTGTGTTCGGCTACACACTGCCTATTGTGTTAAAAGCATGAGTCAGATTATCCATCCATCCATCCATCCATCCATCCATCCATCCATTGTCTGAACCCGCTTGTCCACGTAGGGTCGCGGGGGGTGCTGGTGCCTATCTCGAGCGGTCAATGGGCAATCAGGCGGGGTACACCCTGGACAGAGAGCCAGTCCATCGCAGGGCAACACAGAGACACACCGTACAAGCAACCATGCACACACACACTCACACCTAAGGACAAGGCCTTAGTTCAGTGACCATTGGTGATGGTTGGAATGTAGATCAACCAGTGTGAGATGATATTTTCACCACTGAAGACTAAAAAGATCTAAAAACAGGACACACACACCCGATTCATTCTCACACTCCTGTTTTTATTTATATCTGCTCACTTTTACTCTGTCACGGCTTACCGGACCACTTGAATGGAGCTAAGCCGTGGCTAATGTTCCCTGATCCCCTGAGCATTTTTGCTGCTGTAACTCAAAATGCCTGCTGGCCTGCTCTGGACTCCAGCAGCCCGGCGTTAATGAGCAGCACCGCTCCAGTCACTCTGGGCCTGTGCAGAGGGGTAATCAGTCTGAATTGAAAACACCTGCCTGTGCATGGTCTTTGAAAGGTAAGCACAGGCCCTTTGCATGTTTTCTTGCTCTAACATCCCTTTGCCAGCATGGCCTTTATCTTTCATCTAACTTCAAACAAGCTGCTAATTTAGAGACCCTGGTAACCACAGCCCGCATATCCCTGAGGAGGAGGGAGAACCAGTGAACCTTGAGCTGTAATCCGTCCGTGTCCATGTGTGAGCTTTGAGAAACGGCCTCTGATCCTCTCGGTTGATTCGGTTTGTCCGCTGCATGCTATCATGGATTCACTCTACTTCCCTGTCCATGCTAATACGGTGCTTGTCAGATCTCTAAAATGACACAAAATACAGCTGATTGGCAGCTCCTTTTTAGCAGAGCAGCGAGTTGTGCTGAAGTATAGAAACAAATTGGGGAGAGCAGATGTCCGTAGGTATTTTATTTTTAACCCTTTCCACCGTTGAAGTCTCTGTGCTGAGATGCAATCAGAGCAAACATTGACTGGAAATGCATTTTGAATGGCACAAGGGGACCTAGGATGCTCATTTTGGTTTGCAGTCATAGCTGAATTTATTGATGTTTCTTGAATGACGATCTTGGAAAAGCACGGAGCTGAAGGTTTTCATCAATAAATAACTTGAAGTTTAAGCATTTTAGCCTTTTTTAAAAGAGATCCAGAGTGTTCTGCATATGGTTTTACATCCTGCTGCTGCACATGAAAATGAAATCTTGCCAAGGGATGTTCAGTTCAATTCACTTTTATTTCTACACTTCTGGCGCTTTGCTTTCTTCTCACAGAGGCAGATGGCCGCCCTCTTTAAATCATGCTCTGTTTGATGTCCCCCTGCCTCGCATGCTCAATGTAGAGAAATTCCTCAAATGTGAGCAATCAAAGCAGTTTGTCCACAGCTTGGGCTCGACAACCTAAAAGTGACCTTATACGAACACCAATATAACCACTGACTCATCTGATTTGATCCGGGTTGAAGAGGAATTGAAATAAATGAGATTAAACTGCATTTGATTTGACTTAACTTGATTAGAACCGGATTAGGTTTCTGTATGGAGGTCTGAGATGACATTCATACAAGTTGATGCCATAAAAATTAACTAAATTAGATTTAATTAATTTCAGCACACATTACAGAGAAGACGAGTTAAAATAGCACATCTAAGCACAGCCCAGTTCAATCCAGTGTGTTCCAATTTGTTTAGATATGAATATGTGTGTAAGGATCAGCGTCCCACTATTCCTGCTCTCTGTGGCCGCTATCCTGCAGATATATCTAACGTGCAACGTTTGGCATAAAATCTTTCCTTTTTTATAAGTGGAGTTGGACTTGAGGGCAGCAATTACCAGGCTAGGGTACTATCAGGGGAAAATAATAATTAAATGGAATTAATTGATGTGGATGCGTTTATCTGGCTGCCACAGATTAGGTGTCTAAAGGTGATTTACAGCTCAATACACAGCAATAAAAAAAAATTACAGTTCTACAGACGGAGTGCGAGAAAGAGCAACTAGACTAGAACAACTGTGGTACAAAGAGTTTAAGTCAGTCATTTCTACATAAAGAGTTGTTTCAAATAACAGAAATGAGTGCTGTTCTGGTCAGAGGACACTTCCTGTTTCTAGAGACTTCACTCACTTTGAGCAACGTCATATCGAGTAGGACCCTCATCGTAGATAAATAACTAATAAAATATCACTTAAAAATAAACTAAGCTACTTTTTCATATTTTAAAATCATTTTCTTGAGTCAGTGTGTGCTGAAATGACTCTTTAGGGTTAATGAAAAGTCACTCAGACTCTCACTTGCAACTTCAGAGTGGTGGGCCGTCATTTGTTGGACTTAGAAAAAACGGAGCTGACATGCCTGGCACTACAGTCTGCTTCCAACACATTTCCTGCATGTTTCAGACTGTGAACACAGCTGTTTTGTTTAATTCAGTGATGAAACGATCATGTAGACTAGGGCTGTTCAATTCCGGGCCTCGAGAGCCACTATCCAGCAGGGTTTGGTTCCAACCCTACTTCAACACACCTGCTTTCAGTTAGTAGGTGATTAACAGGTGTCTGCAGAGCCTGATGAGCTGCTGCACAGGTGGCAAGTTGCCACAGGAATGTGCAAATGGGATCCATACCCGCACCCCTGACTAGCCCACTCCCCAAGGTCCTATGTGCATGACTGTGTGATGATGTGAAGGAGCAGGAGGAAAAAAATGTAAGGGGATGGGGAGGAATGGCTGGTTGGCCTAAGCCCTCCAGGAAGTCAGCTCCTCTGCTGGCACCAAAAGGCACCTCCGTTCCCAAAAGGCCCCTCAGGGCATGGAGACCCCAGCCCATCTCGCCAGGGCCCAAAACAGCAGTATCGCAGAGCCTCACAGAGTCCGAGGGCACCAATCCAGCTCCACCCCAGCAGAATATCCACTCCCATCCCTGCATTTGCACAACTTCCAGAACATGTAAGACATGAGACATCCAGATAAGGTTGAGTCCTCCCCCTCCCCCGTGATGGGTCAGAGTTGTTGTTATTTCAGAGGAGCCAAGGTCCACATGAAGCCCTTGAGCCTGGGCCATGCACTGCCGCTTGTTTCTGCCTTCTTCCCAGCAGCTTACGAGTCAGGACCCCATCCCCAAGTCACCCAGATTCGGCTCTTTTTCACTGAAGCCCTTGGCAGGCAGACATAAAATAGATGTGTGGATTTTTAAAATCAAAGTAAAGAACTCTTGTTAAGTCGAGTTAGCTTCACTTTAACGAACATCCTATCAAGATTTATTTCACAGCTCATCAGCCTTGTTGTTTTCACAGCTCGTCTCTAACCTTTCAAGTTTGATCAAACTTGAATTTTATTTCAGATCGGTTGAAAGGGATTCCCATTTCTTCTAAAGAAATGTTTGAGTTATGTGGATTTGAAAGGTCTGTGTGCATGAGATGCTTCAGGATTATCAGTGCGAGTTTCTTTAGTTTTCGCTAAAGTAATAAGGATGTCCGTGGCCCTGGAAGCATAAAGTGAGTGTGCAGACTTGTCGGTCTAAATCCACATCACCTCTGACATTTCTGATTTAAGCATTTTGCATGTTTTAAAACCATCCGCTGCCGAGCTCTCAGATTGAACAGTGCACTCTGTCAGACCAAGGTACAGGCGTTGGCGTGAAGGAGGGAATGCTCCAACGTGACCCCAATATGTCTGCCCGTGCTGATGAGGCATCTGGTTGACTCTCCATTACAGTCGCAGCTGATATCAATCAGCAATGCCGGATCAGAAAGACGAAGCAGAATGCGGAGGAGCCATACTAACACATTACACATCAGAGCATGCACAGAGAGAATATTTCTCGAGTGGGGCTGGAGAGGAAGGGTGTGCATATCCATTATCTGCTGGATGCTGAGCATTGCGAGAAAATGGAGCTGCTAATGAGGACCAAATACACTGAGAGCAGCTGCATAGCAAATGAGCCGACTTCGTACATAGGCGTGGATTTGTTGTTGGTTAATCAAAGGTGAAAAAATTCAGTGGCTAAAAATAGTGAGTGTAAAGCTGCGTGCTGCTCACATCTCTAATGACACATCCAGAGGAGGTAACAGCTAGCGAGAGGTTATCATTATTGTTATTCACACCGTGCGAGCAGGTCGAGGAACTCTAAGATACCCCTTGCTGGATGCAGAGCCGCTCAATTTCCCAGGGTCTGTTACATCTCTGGCTTTGTCGGGAAAACGCAAAGGCTTTGAAGTTGAGAAACCTGGTTAAAAAAGGCAAAAACTCAAGAGTAGAGGTCACGAGACTTAACTCATCAATAACAGAAAAAAAGTTTAAATTCACATAGCTGCCTGTCCTCATCGTTTTTATTGATTAGGGTGGTAAAAAAACACGTAAGATAGAGAGGTCGTGGGAAAAGCTTTTAGGAACGTGAGTGCTCATTTAGCCTCGGGGCGTGCTGCGGCGGCTGGAAAACAGACAGGAAGGATTTCATTAAACATTTATTTACAAAAACAAAAAGCATGACGAAGAATAATCTGCGAGCCAATACAAAACACGTGATAACATGATAGAATACATTAACGTATACTTTGTATATCTTTTGGATGTGTTAAATAAACTGCTATAATCTGTGGGATGTGAGAAGTCCGAGGTGAGAGGGAAGGCAGCCGACATGGGGCTGCTTCCTGTTTCAGGGATTATTGCATTTTCAGGTTTAAGGCAAGAATACCAGGAGGAAATGGAAACACTTGGGGGTAACATTGAAGGGATTTTCTGCTCATCACACGCCGCACTATCACATAAACATCAATAACTATAGAAGACAAAAAAACACTCTTTTGGAAAAGGGGGGTGTACCAATTTTACAAACAGGATTGGTCCATACATTTTCATTTAAGAGCATCATACGTGTGCTGCATTATGTAACAGTCCCTGCAGTTGTCAGATGAGAAGTATCCCAAGATGTGCAGAGCACCGTAATGACTTGGCGTCTTTGGTGCTCGATGTGCTGTAGTGGTCCACGGAGTCCTCTCCCTTTTTGTCGTACCGCCTGAGGTCTCCGTGTGTCCCCGTCTCACCAATACTCTGATCAGTACGGGTAATGCTTCTGCTTCTTTCCAGCGAAACAAGAGAGCCAAGTGCACAGCAGCATGGCGGCGGCTGCGCCGGCTCCCGTGCAGTAGTACGCCCAGCCAATCTGACAGGAGCCTGCAGAACAAAAAGCTGAGTTTAGGGAAATGATGTACAGATCCAACTCCCTCTGCAGTCTGCACTTACTGAAAATTGCTGAATTATCTTCAATTGTACAATAAAACTTTGTAAAACTGATTAAGAATTCATAAAACTCCACTGAGACTATATGCTTCACACGAGGAAATGTAATGGATGCACCAAACCTTCTCACACTGAAAGATAATTTAAACATGTCTCCTTTAACAGCTGAAGTGTGCCACGTATCTGGAGACTGTTGCTCTACATCTCTGATCCTGCTTTAACATGTTGGTGGTGGGCCCAGGGAACGGGGTCGGAAGCTAAACATGGACGTTCAAGCTGCTTCTACATTTCTCTTCTGCTTGTGACAAAAATGTGAAAACAAACGTACAAAGAACATAGTTTATCCTCAAACAACCCGGAATGTGTCAAGTATCTGCTGAAGGCTTTAAGAAATATTCATTAAAGCAAAACCAGCAGAACTAAAGACGAGAGACATTTTCACGGTTCCCTGAGAGGTAAGTTTCAGCATTTAGAAAAAGCAACAATTTTTTTATATAGCATCTCAAGATAAAAATCATGAAAAAAAAATTAAAACATTATTAAAAATATTGTAATATACAGAAGAGGATTAGGGCCACTAAAAAGAAAAGGAAGGGAATCCTAACTTTAATGTTGGAATTCTGACTTTGAAGAGCAAGTCACCCCCAAATCAATTTTTTTTTGCTGATAAACCATATAAATTAGTGTCTAATTGTGCTGTAGAGACATCTAGTCAATAATTCTACTCTTTAGTGTATCTTACATAAAGAAATATTCTGCCTAAAACTGTCAGTGTTGTGCCGTCGTCAGGTAAAAACTCTGCACTAAATTTGAATTTAAATCTGCCATCGCTATTGGCTAAGAAGTACACAATGACGTTAGCTGGTATATTTCTGATGTCACAATGCTGTTGTGAGCCTGTTTGTGTGTATTTGTTAGCGGCTCAGCCCTCTCGGTCTGCCAGGCAACAGCATTCCTTGCATTTTTCAAACTTGAAGTGGGAGTGGAGTAAGGTATAGTAGGGGATGACTTGCTCTTTAATGTCGGAATTCAGACTTTTTTCTCAGAACTCTGACTTTAATAATCCTGAGGAGAGAAAAAAAGTCAGAATTCTGGCATTAAAGACAAAATTCTGACTTTTCTCAGTGGCCTTAATCCTCTCTCGTAGTAATAAAATGGGTAAAAATAAATAAATAAACAAATATATATATATATATATATATATACACACACACATATATATATATATACACACACACACACATACATACATATATATATATATATATATATAATTAGATTAAAAAAACATGAAGGAAAAAATAAATGAATTAAAAAAAGGTGATACAAGATCCTCAGAAAGGCAGAATTGGCAGAATGAAGACAAAGTAGAAAAGAATAATCAACAGAAGTTCACACAAAAGCATGACAAAGGCCATGATTAAACGGTTTATTTAAAATTCACAGCATTTCATCAAATCAAATTGATTCGTTCATAATATATTCAGGACATACAAGTGCGCTGAAATGCTGTTTCTCGTTCTCTTTGTTAAAAAATGTAAAAATATATATATAAAAGGTAAAAAAATTAAACGGGTATAAAGTTTAAAAGTATAAACATAAAAAGAAGTGATGTGACGTTTATGAACGAATCAAATCTTTTGAACGGGTTTTCAAGCTGAGCGATGAGAGCCCCATTCATCTCGTCTCCCAGTAGCAGTTTTGCTTTCGGTTCTACAAACGGACACTAGGGGGTGCTAAAAGCAAATGTGGTTCAGTAACTGAACATTAAAACTCTGCTCAGCAAGTAATAATTCATTATCGTGAAACAGAAGGGACACTGAAGAGAATTTCTGACAGTAGAGCTCAATAATTACAAACTAGACAGAAGGTATTTCAATAAATCTCATCACTCGGAATACGACTCAAAGGTCAAAAGTTTCTATCTTTAGGTGATGCTTTCTCACATTTTACAGTTTTTCGTGTCTGTTTCAAACTCAGTAAAGAACAGTTCACCATTCCAGTTTAGGCATTTATAATTTAAAATGATCAGTGTTGGAATGGTCAAAAACGGCAAGCTACAATAGTTTTAAAAACTCCGTTATGTTTGATTAACTTCAAATTACGCACATCCATTATTAGTGATCTACAACACCATTTCCAAGCCATTGAGAGCGGACTTTTCTCCTTATGATTAACAAATGAGACATGAATTAATGAAGGAGAAATTCTCATGTGGCAAACTCATCATTTGTGGGAAATCCGCTGCTCAGAACGGGAGAAAATCACCCGCTTGTTATGATGCTAACGAGAGTTGTGTTGACTCTGAAATAACTCAGGAAAATTTAATTTGCCGGGAGTATAAACAGCACGCTGATACTTGCTAATGATAACACACAGCCTTTTGTAAGAGCTGAGATGAATTGGGATGTAAATCATAATAGCTTCAAGTCCTAAAATTTCAGTCCTGATTTATTTAGGAAATTAAAATGTTCAAAAATACTATTCATTTAAATAAGACGGGGATCATTTTATTTATGGATCCTACTGAAATCTGCAAAACACTACAGAAACATGTTAATATATAGTTTATTTTCTTGGTCTTGCCGGTATCGATATGAGTCCAATACGTAAAACTGGGCCGAAAACAACAACTAATTTTTTTCCATTTGTGTATTTTTCAGAGGGTGAGGGGGGAAATGATGTGTAATTGTTAAGTCATGTGACATTAGCAGTATTCATCTCAGAAGCGTAAATGCGTGTGGTGTGTGTGTAATATAATAAATCGGTATATGCAAATATTGGTTATTGGCAATCACAGCAATATCAATATCAGCATTGGCCCAAAATTTTCCTATTGGTGCATCCCTACTTTCAAACAATTATTTGACAACATTTGCATTTATTGCTATCCACATAAAATCTTAGTCTCAAACATTTAGAGCATGGATAAATATAATTATTCATCTTATTTACTTGTTTTATTTTGGGTAAAAGAGGAAATGATAACATTTTGGTTCTAATACTGAAGATTGGATATTCCATAAACATTCCAATGTTTTTTTTTTCCTGACTAGAAGAGAATTTTTTTTAAATTATTTTTAATCTCAACATTTCATTGTTGCTGCAGTGTGTAACATTTTACTGGATGAAATTAAAACAAGTAATTTGATTGCTGGCATATTTTCAAAAACACTTCAGACATAACACAACATAAGTGTCCACTAGGTGGGGTGGTAGGGTTTGGGACTCTCCACACGTCAGTGAATGCAGCCGTGATGAGCAGCGCTCGTCACCTCAGTCTGGACAGGGGGAGGAGGTCGTTGGGTTTAGAGGATACAGTGATTCCTGGAGCGATTCAGCGGCCTCCACAGCTTGCAGTCCCACCCAGGCTGGGATAGGGAGACAGAGTTGTCATGGCAACGGCAGCATTCCACATTTCTTGGGGGGGGGGGGGATTCATTTCAGCCTCACAGGCTCAAGGGCACCAGATTCAGGTAAGAAATTGTTTTGGGACCAGACAGAGATACTGTATTAAAGTTCCGTTGGTCCTCAACGCCTCTGAATCCAATAATGGCGCAAATTAATCTATCCCAATCCGTGCTGATTCGTCCACTCACTCCTTGATCACATTTGTGGCAATACATGAATCTCAGGCAAAGTTCCAAGCTTACAACTCATCTCGACAATTATATGAGTCTGTGCATTCACAGCGCGGTATAATCCATCCTTGACCTCCGGGAAAGAGCCAATATTCCTCGACAGCTCGTTAATTTTCCGGTAAGCCAGGTAATCTTCCAGGCCAAAAAGCAGGAAACCTGACACCAACACCACAAATATCCATACGTCTTTAGAATCCTCTACAGACAGCAAATCAGGTTCCACTGTTTCCAGGAGTCCATGATGTGCCCAACTGGATCTGTCCCAGAGGGGCACCCAGGAGCCCCTTCTCCTGTTCTCATCGTTGAAACAATTTTGTCAATCGCGTTGAGAGACCAACTGACCAGGTACATGTTAGGAATTTCAGTTTCCAGTTTTCCAGAAAAAATGCAGAAGTGCCGTACACCCAGAGACAGACAATGAGCCTTGGGATAAGATAGGGAGGAGAGCAGGAAAAAAGCGCCTGTACTCTCCAAGAGCCAGAAGAAGAAGCATAGTGATGGGAATTCCAGCTCTTTTTAGAGAACTCCCAAGTGGCTCCTCAGATTTTCTGTTGCGTAAAATATAGTTATCACCAAAAATAAAGCAAAACTACACTCAACTAAAATATAAATGCAACAACTTTGTTTCTGCTCCAATTTTTCATGAGATGGACTTAAAGATCTAAAATTCATTCCAGATACACAATATTACCATTTCTCTCAAACAATAATAATACATTTTATTTCAAGTGTCTTTCAAAGCTCTCAAGGTCACTGTACAAGGCAATATATAAGGAACAGCAAGCAATACAAACAACAAGAAATAAATGCAAACAGTAATTCCCATGGGTAGAGTCAGAGCAGTACAATGGATAATAGACTAAAAAAGAGTAGATGGAAGGAGGACAGTTACAATGAGTAAGCCAGGCGAAACATGTGAGTTTTGAGTTGAGACTTTAAGGTTGAGATGGAGTTTATATTGCAGAGGTCAGGGGTAGAGTGTTCCAGAGTTTTGGAGCTGAGTGGCTGAAAGCTCTGGCTCCCATAGTACTGAGACGAGTGCGAGGAACAGACAGCGAAGGGAGGATGAAGGGAGCGGGGGGTTTGGTTGGGTTGAGAAGTAGAGCTGGGTGTCATCGGCGTAGCAGTGAAACTGAATATGAAATTTCCTGAAGAACATTGTTCACAAATCAGTCTAAATGTGTGATAGTAAGCACCTGTGCTTTGCTGAGATAATCCATCTCACCTCACAGGTGTGCCACATCAAGATGCTAATCTGACATCATGAGTAGTGCAGAGGTGTACCTTATACTG